AGAGAAGAGAGAGGAGAGAGAGAGAGAGAGAGAGCGAGAAGATGAGAGAGAGAAGAAGAGAGAGAGAGAGAAGAGAGAGAGAGAGGAGAGAGAGAGAGATGAGAAGAGAGAAGAGAGAGAGAGAGAGGAGAGAGAGAGAGAGAGAGAGAGAGAGAGAGAGAGAAGAGGAGAGAGAGAGAGAAGAGAGAGAGAGAAGAGAGAGAGAGAGGAAAGAGAAAGAAGAGAGAGAAGAAGAGAAGAAGAGAAAGAGAGAGAGAGGAAGAAAAGGAGAGAAAGAGAGAGAGAGAAAAGGAGAAGAGAGAGAGAAGAAGGAAAGGAAAGAGAAAGAGAGAGAAGAAACGAGAGAAGAAGAGAGAGAGAAAAAGGAAAGAGAAAAGGGAGAGAAGAAGGGAGAAGGAAGAAGAAAGAGAGAGAGAAAAGGAAGAGAAAGAGAGAGAGAGAAGGAAGGAAGAGGAAGAAAAGGAAAGAGGAGGAGAGAAAAAGGAAAGAGGAGAGAGAGAAAAAGAGAGAGAGAGAGAGAGAAGAGAGAGAGAGAGAGAGAGAGAGAGAGAAGAGAAGAGAGAGAGAGAGAAGAGAGAGAGAGAGAGAGAGAGAGAGAGAGAGGAGGAGAGGGAGGAGGGAGGGAGGGAGGGAGGGAGGGAGGGAGGGAGAGAGAGAGAGAGAGGAGAGGAGAGAGAGAGAGAGAGAGAGAGAGAGAGAGAGAGAGAGAGAGAGAGAGAGAGAGAGAGAGAGAGAGAGAGAGAGAGAGAAGGAAGAGAGAGAGAGAGAGAGAACATCTATACAATGTATCACACCTTAAACCCTAATTTTCTTCCATACATATATTCCCCTAATACCTAACCCTTATCGTCATTTACCTAACAGCCATCATCTGGAGAGGAGATCCTGGAGGAAGAAGCATCATCAGATCAGCGACTGTCTGCAACAGCTGGTGGAAAGTCTGGGGCAGAGGGTGGACTGCATCGCCTGCGAGTGTTACATCGCTCAGAGGATGCTCCAGCACCACCATTTCACCTTCCTGTATGCATACAATTGAATTAATTAAAAGCATTCCTCCATCTGTTTGTTAGTCATGACCAGAAAAGAAATTCAAAATATTTTTTTCTATATCTACTTCAATTCTAAAAACAATTTTCTGAAATTATTATCAATATACCTTGGATTTTATGCATAAAACAAGTGCTTGCAGTACTAGAATATTCATTGCATAAAATACACAAATATTATCTTCTGTATATGAATACTGTATGCACAATCTTTCATTCTGCTGCTTCAAGTTTAATAAATCTATGACATATGAGTGAAATGCTACTATCATTACTGAAGACACTGCAAATCACAGTACAATAAGAAGTGTGCTATAGAACCAAAGTCTCTTACTAAATCATGGGATTTATCTTTGTGGTGTGGCTGATCCTGTGGGTTGTGGTCATCGGCAGGAGGCTGAAGGGGTGGGCTAGTGGGGGTGAGTGCAGCCACAAAGCACCAGAGTAAATCGTGAAGACAGGTTGGCTGTGTCACACTTCTCAGAAGCCAGTTTAGAGCCTGAAAGTCAAAAAGACAGCATTAACTAATATCCTAAATCTTTGTATGCAAGCACATGTGCTGTCTACCATATCTTTTTTTTTTGGTGAATTTCACTGCGAATAGATAGGCCTGACATGACATCACCTGATTTTTCCTTTCCTGAAATATTATTTGTTTATTTAATTATCATTATTATTTTTTTACAAATGCTATTAACCCCTTCAATCTGGATGACATGACCATCAAGACATGAAAAAAAAATGACTTAAAGGGAGGGTGACGTGAACATGCCATCATGGGAAAATTGGGCTGCGGGCTGGGTGACGGAAACTTACCATCATAAGTGTTTTGGCTGAAGGCCGGGGTGACTGAAAAGACTCCATGAGTGCACAAACTTCTTGGAGGGTGATTAGCCTCATTTGGTGTTTAGAAAGTTTTTTTTTGTATTATTTTCATTGATAAACAAGTGTGGAATATAGTGTCCAAGGAAGAGTGCTGGCTCCAGGGAGGAGGCCAATTCATGGCTGCCATGAAAGGAGGTGCAGGTTGTAATAGAGACAGACAGACAGACACACAGAAAAAAAAAGAAGAAAAAAATAGAGGGATGAAATGGAAGTCTGTGCAAGGAAAAAAATCTCTCACTATCTAGATAAAGCAAATTAAATGACAAATATGGACCCTAAAAACTGGCACAAAAGCTAAAAATGCTTATGCATAAAAAGAAAAAGTAACTTCGAAAATGTGAAGCACTACATCTTGTCACCAAATATGAATGTTTGTGCATGCCCAGCCTAGATTCTGTGCAACCGCCAGATCAGCTGCTCATGTAAGCCTGATGCCCATATTTTGGTCCATGTGATTGCCGTGAAACAACCGGATCCAAGGGGCTGATATTGATATTGTTATCAATATTAAACACATTCTGATTATGATGTTATGAAAATATTAATAGCTGTGAAAAATAAAAAGAATCTTTCTGAAAATTACAAAAAATGGTAAATATGTGAGAGATAGGTAGGAATAGTTATTTACACCTTCTGGAGCCATCTATGTGTATGGACACTTAATAACTAAAATGAAAATGGACATAGTATGTATAGCATAATATCCCAGTACATAAGAATTAAGCAGCCTAATGGTTAATATTCAGTGAAATGTATAAAAGTTGCTGTTTAAACAGAGTACAAAAGGTGATTAATGGAGACTTCAGTAATTGTAAACAGAAAAAAGTAAACCACATAAACCCTTTACTAGTCTTTCAATTCTACAGAAAACAAACAGCTGCTCACCTGCATGGCATAGACCCTGGCAGCTGCCTTTCGAGTGGCATGCCTCATAGCATAAGCCAGAGTTTCCAGGTCATGGTTCTGAAAGATGAATGCCATAATAGGTCGGATGAGGACCTGCCTTGCTCTTCCTCCTGGGTCTCCTGCAGGTCCTCCTCCGCGTTCTATGCAGGTTGCTAGCCGCTCCAGTGCAGCCGATGGGTGCACCAAGAGGGAACTGCCACCACCATCTACTGTGAAAATGACTTATTCAAATCTTTTCTCAGACAGTTGAACACAACTATTCCACTTTTAAAATACTTTCCTCTATAATCAACCATTTGAAAAAAATCTTTCTCCATTTCTTCCACCCTAAAAAGCCAAACTTTCCTTAAATCGACCACTGTACCTGTGTTTTCTCCACTGCTGTTGTTCCGTTTCCTGAGAACGACTGTGGCCTTTTGGTCATGCTCATGCTGCGAGGCAGAGGCTGAGGCAGCAGCTGAGCTCCAATCTTGTCCTAGGGTTCCAACTGTCACAGATATGGAGCGGTGGAATGGACGGCCACGAGGGATCTCTGTATCAGATGCGGGAGATTCTTGGTGTGAGGTCCCTTATTTGAAAGAAATGAAATGTTGTCCATTAAAACAGCTAGGATTAAAAGTGACAATGCTTGGAAGCCAAAAGAAGAAGAAGAAAAAAAAAAAAAAAAACTATAAATGCCAATAAGGAATAAATAATGACAAAATCATAATAAAACTCCTTTTAACAACGAAACGTTGAAAAACCTAGAGCGGGGGAGAAGGGGGGGCAAGCTTGAGTGTTACCTGGTGGAGAGAAGGGTGAATGCTCCCTGTGGTTATTTTCCCGAGATTCGGCAGAGCTGCTGCGATAGTCTGCATTATCAGAGGAATGGAGCGTGTGGTGCAAGAGGAGGTCCTCACGCAGCTGGTTCAGGTGCTGCTGCTGGCAGTTCAAAGTATGCAAGCACTGGAATGCAACCTAAAAAACACATAAGTCCACCTGTTACTTTTTTCTCTAGTCAAAAGTATATCTCCTTTACAAGTAAATTACTTACGTAAGATACTTAACTTGCCCATATTATGTTGAAGTCAAAAATGGATTCAATAAACCTAAGCTATCAAACATCACACTGTAGCCTTCCCTATCTGAAACATGCTAAGAATTACATCAGCTTATAGTTAATATAACATAGTATAAGCTTATCTTACATCTTATACCTTATACACAATATATTGCTAACCTTGGGAAAGCTGAAAATAAAAAAAACTTAAAATTGTTTTTCTCCTGCTTTCAATAACCTACATCTTATCAGAAATATCTTTACATGGACTGTATGTAAACTTTGTATAAATTCAGATACAATTAATAATCACATTAGCAAGTCACTGGGAACAATAACCATAATGGGCCTGTTCTTTTCGGAGCTAAGAGGAAAACTAAATTGACATGAACAATCATGCTTTCCATTTGCAATGCTTATGTAATCTGAAAATCATTTACAAATAGAAATTCTAACACTTTCTGGCTAGTTTCTATAAGCACTAAATAATCATTCCCTTGTTCTATCTCTCTGAGCTAATCATACAAGCACTTCATGACATTTCTTTTGACAGTGAATGAATGTTTTAACCCATCGCCGATGGGTAAAAATTTTGGCAAGTTTACGCATGCACGGGCTTGTTGGCGCGCACCGGCAGTTTCCCCTGTTTGCGCCTGGCTCGATCGTTGGTTTGCGAGCGACATATAGCACCTAAAAGCTTTTATTTTGCTAAAATTTATAAACATATTAAAATTTTGAAGGTTTACCTTCATTACAGGTGCCATTGCCTAAAATCTTTACCACATAAATGACGCCGCAACCATTGGAGAAAAACAACCTCCGTCCGACGAGCCAGTGGCGCGGGAATGGGCATGACATGATGCCCCCGGCGTTCGGTCTAAAACAGCCATGGCATGTACGTATGTGCCACCCGGCGGCAACGGGTTAAGTATTAATCCTATCAGGGCCAGAAATTTCTATGATGTGATAACTATGCAACAAGATAGCCTTTATGCCTGGGCATGAGCTGTGTACACTCACTAGAGCAAGTTATTAGGTGTCTATATGTCATGTGTCATCACAAAGGGGTTAAGTAAGAATTCTTGAAACATATGGGATGTACATCTCACAAACACTACCATTCTCCATACTCTTTGTGCCTCATTGATTTCTTGAACCACTCAGATGAGTACCTCCTGGCATTTTTCCCACCTCTTTTTTCATGGAAATGAACATAGTGAGTATCCCCTTATTGATGGGCACACCTATAGCCATCATGATGTAAAATGTGTATACATGTCATGACTCGCTCTAGTTAGCAAGCAGGTGGGCCAGCTGTACAAAGCGCATGCCTTGCCAGAAAGGCTAGACTGTTGTATAATAATCATGTCACAGAAAATTCTTTCCCCATCATGATAGGGTATAGAAAGTTCAACTCTCCCTCACCCCAAAAGCAAACCTATCCCCTTGTAACCCCCTACCCAATAACTCTTCAACAATACTGTTTCAGATATTCATTTCAAGATTTACCATTTTTCTAAATATATATATAGATACATTTTACAGTTCTGTCTTTATCTATCCATTTTTTCTGGTAGTGGTAAATTTTATCAACTTTGCTCCTAGGCTTAAGAAGCAATTTTGAGTGGATATATTCTAAATCTACAAACATCAAAGACTTAAATTGGCCTTGATCAATCAGTTAATTATAGTAGGTTAATGCCACTGACTCACCTTGGGGAAGGGGCTGTTGTCCGGGCTTAACTCAGAGACACAGGGCATGGTGCATGGAGATCTCCTTGGCACATGACTTCTAGTAGGGAGGGCAGGTGTTGCAGCACTGGCCAGGTCCAGCAGGAACATTGCATTGTTTCTCATTATCACATGAGTGTCCAGTTGGGGAAGAGGAGACAGTAACTTACTATTAGACTTCCTCTTCATCTTCCCATTTGTACCTTTACTTCCCGAGAACTGACTATACTGGCCTTTGTGCCTGTTGCGGCAACTCCAACACATGTGGAAGCATCCACGCACTACTACACCACAAGGCTGGGTAACACGGTCCTTGGAGGGGAAGAACTTCCAGCGTGTTCCCACATAACCACAGCCTTTGGATGAGCCACCACAACCTGGATGAATAGTCCGGAAGTGCTGTTCAGCACCATCAGGAGGGATATTACTACCACATAGCTCACATACACCATCCTCCTCCTCACCTACAATTGAGTCAACCCCAAACATGGGAATGCCTGCTGAGGCTGACTTTTTCTTGTGCTTCTTCTTTTCTCTGTCACTCTTCTCCTTTGTTTTATCAGTTTTATTAAGTCTAACTGGAAGTGTTGGTGAAGGAAGAATAATCTGTTGAGCAATGGCCTTCAAACAACTTGATGTTAGTTCTTCCCAAAGCAGAACAACATGACGGAGTACTGGGGGGAGGTCAGGGGGGTCAGGCCCTGAGCCCCCTTCCATCACTGTTGGTAGTTTTTGTCCCTGAGGTCCCTGAGTGTAGCTTGTCCCTGCTCTGTTGGCAGCATCTTCCTCATTGTTATCTGTGATTCGTGGCACTTCATTGATGTTGGCATTTGCCCCAGGCTTCAACAGATCTTCTGTATTCTGGAGAGTGACGTTGTTCAGGTAACTGTAGGTACTCACTTCAACTGAGTGTCGCTGTCGTGCTTTCTGTTCTTTTGTAAGTTTTTCAGTTTTCGTGCCAGTGTTTGCACGTGGTTTCCAGTGGAATGTTCCTTGCTTTGTCAGATCTGGATGGAATTTGATGTAGGATGCACAGGCCATTGCATCGTGAACAATTCCCTCATGCCATAAGAACCCAGCAAATATAGCTCTCAGGCACTCTGCTACAGATGGGCTCATTGCTTCCTTGATCTTGTCTCGGCTTGGCCCAGGTTTTTCCCTCTGCACAGCTGCTGGTGAAACAGCACGGTCCCTCTTTCCCCGGTGTGGTTTGCCTGATCGATCCTTGCGTGTCATTTTTGGGGAGAGACGCAAATTTTCATCCCGAGATCCAGTTGACCCTATATTGAACTTCACACCTTCTGGGCTTGTCTGAGTTGCTGTCTGGGTGACTGTTTTAGGACTTGTGCTCAAGGGTTCCTGTGACACAAATGCAAGAAAATTAGTATTTGACTATGATTCTGTAAGGGATTTTCTTTTCACCATAATTAGTGCAAAAAAAAAAAAAAAAAAAAAAAAAAAATTTTCATGAAAATGCTTATACCTTACACCCTTAAGTATTCAATCCCCAGTGGCATCAGGTTAAGTTACCAAACTCCTCAATAATAAAAAATCCAGTCAAAAAAATCTAAGCAACACACTAACCCTCCTTGGTGTACTAGGTGTTGAAGTGGGCAAGGAAGAAATGCTTGGGGAATGAGACATGTCCTGTGTTAAGCTTGACACAAATGCACTGGTGTCGCTCAGGGAATCGTTTGCGCTTCGAATAGCAGACGGAGGACTGCCTGCTGCCCTGTCCCCAGCAGCACCTGTTCCCGACACAAGGGGTGACACAGCTGTTGCACGTGGAGAACTGTGCAAGGGGGAACTACTTGCACTCTCTCTTCCACGACCTTATCAAAAACATAAGTTAATTATCAACATTTTGACTCAAATCATAAATAAATTATATTA